TGATGCGAGCAGGAGAGGACATCGAGACCACTGCAGCCAGGCTTGATGGGAGCCAGGCCCTGGACAAAGAAGCTGCCATCGGCTGCTGAATCGGCGGTGCCTGCTACGCCCGGATTGGAGGAGATGGTGTCCACATAGACGGCATCGCCCCTGCGCACGCCCGGCAGCTCGTTGCCATCGTAGAAGCACGGATTGGCCGGATCCAAGCCGGTGACGCGCGACAATATTGCGCCGCCTGTCAGCAGCTTATAGTTGCGTCCTGTGGAGCCCGCGATCTGGGCGCCCAGGCTGTGGCCCACGATGTGCACGTGCTTGGTCACATAGTCGCGGTCCAGCTGCAGCAGCGCCTGGGCCACATAGAGCCCGATGGCCTCCGTGTTCAGGGCCGACCAGCTATAGAGGGTGTTGACATAGTTGGCTGCATCCAGCACCTGTTTAACGAATCAAGGAAATATGTCAAGGAGCTAATCTGCTGCGGAACTAGTTCCATTGCAAGTTCAATCTAGTTCAATCTAGTTCAATTTGAGCTCACCACAAAGTTGGTGTCATTGCGACAGGCGAATGCCTTGGCCACTGGGCCGCTGTTGGAGCTATCGATGGTGGAGCCCCAGCCGGTGACGTAAATAACCGTCGGCCTGTCCTGATGGAAGCCCGGCGTATCCCACAGCTCACTAGCCCGGGTCAGCGGAATGCTGACATTGGTGCAGGCATCGGGACGCAGCTGGAAGCTCATCAGCGACATGTCTGGCACGATTTTGGACTGCACCAGACCCAGATCCATGATGGTGCTGCAGATGTACGTGAGCGCCGAGAGGCTGATGTCGATCGGCAGTCCAAAGATGATGCCACGCAACTGATCCTGCAGCTGATCGCGCTGGCGGCGCAGCAAGGCCGTATTCCTCCTGCCGCCTCTCGTCGAGTTCTGGCCTAGGGCCACGTCCACCACGCCCACCACGACAAGTGCCGTTATCCACAGGGCTAAGGGCTTCATGCTGTTGCTCTAATTGGCGACGAGGCACGCCCTTATATACTGCCCATACCCACCAGACGGCCAGAGGCACGTGTTAATATTGATCAAAGCCGCACAATGGCGATATTTGGTCTTCTGCATGAGAATTTCGCTTAATCAGCTGCTCCAGTTACAATGGACACAATAGAACCCGGCCACGTGAGCAACTGTTTAATAACCAGGCCAACAAAAATCGAATTGTCTAAGCGTTTGTTCAGCGCTCAGCGATCAGCGATCAGTTCATTCCCAGCTGGCCCATTGCAGCAATAGCTCGTTGTGGGTGCTCCCGACTTGGCCAAGCAAAAAACAACAACCGAATAACAAAAGCAACAACAACAGTTAGAAAAGTGAAGAAAACAAAAATTGAAATATTTGCGTTAGGAAATGCTGCCGACAAAATGCGAATTAATAACCAAAAGTTGTTACTGTTGTTACTCCGCTGTGGGTGTACGCGCAGCAATCACTGCCAGCAACAACAGCAGCACCACGAACAGCAACAACAACAGCAGCAGCAACAACTTATTACATTGGTAATTTGTGTGCGCAAAAGTTTTGTGGGGCGTCCCACTGCCCCGCTTGACTTGTTGCTGCTGTTGTTGTTGCTGTTGCTGAGACTATTTGTTGCTGCTACGACGGCTGGCACGCCAACAGCAGTAGCAGCAACTGCGCCCGCTTCTTGTTGTAACAGGCAACGTGTCAAAAGATTTGATGAATAAAAGTGTAAACTAATTATAACACCGCAAGTCGATTGCACTTGCATTCGCCATGCCTCGAAAGAGTGGCCAGCGCTTAGTTTGATTAGCCATATATACATATACATATGCATATACATATACATACATATATATGTATATAAACATACATATATGAAAACAGAAAACAAACTTAATTAGCTACAATATTTTAAACAATTTTTATTGCCTGCATCATAATGCATACTTATGATCGTATATCATATTTAATTATCATGATGAGTGCTATAAAAATATATGGCATTTTTTATAGAATGTTAAAGCATACAAGAGGACATATATTTATATATGTTTGTGTATATCAAGTATAGAATATAAATATTTGTAGAGTGCTAAAGAATACAAATGAACATGTGTATATATATATATTTGCATATACATACATATATGTATAAATAATTGCTTATATTAGAAACAGAGCTCATATTCTTCCTGAAAGATTAAACTAGCTAGCATATCTGCAGTATTTTAATACTTGAAGACATCTTTATTTCAAATACAAATCCATAATCAAATATATGTAAATGAAACTCAATAGAGGAATTTGTATACAGATGCAACAATAGGTTTTTGCTTAAACTTGATATATGTACAATAAATTGGGAGACTCAGACTAGCGAAGATAAGAAGATAAGATAGGACAGACCAGATATATAGAAGACTTGAACCATTTGATCATATAGTAGGATAGCCCATGGCTGAAGCTCTCGTATAAACTAAATATTCATTGCTGCATAATTTTATTTAAAATCTGATTAGAAATTGCAATTAAATATATAAAATATATGTATGTATATATGCAATATGAACATAAAATTTCTTAATAAAAAAAAAAAAAAAAAAAAAAAATACAAATAATAAAACAATAACAATAATTTGAAATTCATATATGTAAATAATAATACATTGTTATATGAATTGAAAACTTTTTTTTTTTTTTTTTTTTTTTTTTAGGCAGTAGACCATTTAGTTATTTATGAAAATAATAGTGCGACTGTGCACTAAATTGTTAAACAACAAAATTTAATGAAAGAAACAAAACAAAACAAAGAACTTAAAATCAGTTTGAAATGAATATCAAGATTAACATATTTTTGTGTTAATTAAGTTTTTTTTTTTTTTTTTTTTTTGCAAAACAAAAAATCAACAAAATTTTAGTTGTTCATGAAAACAGCAGTGACTACAAAAAAAACTAATCCAACTATATATATATAAGCCAACTGCCTTGTGCATAAGAGCTGAGCTATAACATTATATAATGCTTAACTTACTAAATCAATAAAAATAACAAATATTATATTTGAGCCATTTTCGCAGCGTAAAAAAATTCGCACATTTTTCAGTGCAATGGCAAATTGTTTGGCAGCCCCATTAAGGATTGTTTACAAAGAGACATTGTTTGTATATGTATATGTGTATGTATTTGTGTATGTATAACATGTAGCTATACGCACATGTTGTTGTTGTTGTTGCTGCTGCTGCTGTTGGCTTTGTGGCTTCTGCAATCTTTGAGAAACATTTGGCAAGTGAGTGCGCACTGTTGGCATTGCCATGTCTCTTGGTCTATATATGCGTGTGTGTGTGTGTGTGCATTTATATCTGTGACTGCATTTTGGTCGCTCTGGTAACGCTCTTAATTGCCACCCCAGAGGTAGGCCACTGTTGCTGCACAGGTTGCACAATCGCCTCAACTGCAACGAACAGTAGTCGCACATGTGGCTCGGCTCGTACTGTTCGAGCTACCCTCGGTGGTTATCTTTGCTTTTCTTTTTGCCATTTTGTACGATTCTACGCGCTAAGCCATCCGTTTCCGTTTTGTTGATCAACTCAATTAGCTGCCAATTGGCGTGTGAGTGCGAGGTGGTGCCACGGCGGTGCCCAGAGTTAGATGCGTGGTGCTGCTTGCCATTGTCATTGCTGCTGCTGCTGCCGCTGCTGCTGCTGCTACTGCTGTTGTTGCTTCCGCATCGATGTCTATGCGCGCTTTGACAAGATCAGCATAGACAACGATCAAATGAATGACGGTGTTTGTGATTATGTAAGCCTTTGCGCCTGCATAGAACTGGGGCCAACCGCACATACATTACGTATACGCACATTGCAACAGCTGCTGCTGCTGCGGTGGTGGTGGTGGTGGTGGTGGCGGTGCTGGCAGTGTCGGCGCCTCTTATAATTGCGGCTATTCAATGGTCACTCGGCTGGCTTGGCTTGCCTGGGTGAGCTGCCCGCGCAGGCCGCGCTGGCGTATACGTAATCTGCACAATAAGTGCAGAAAATTATCAGCTGCAGCTAAGCGACCGCCTCGTTTCCAACGTGCTCGTCGTCGTCGTCGTCGTCGTCGTCGGCAGATGTCCATTGCAACATGGATGGCCCAGCCAAGCCAAGCCAAGCCAAGCCAAGCCAAGCCAAACAAAAGCGCTGCTCAATGCGTTGTTGTTGTTGTTGTTATTGTTGTGGCTGGAAAATGCAGGAAAATGTGTGCCAAAAGCCAGCGTATAAATGCCAGAGCTCTTGTCGAAAAGAAAATAGTCGACTTGCACCATTTCGCCGCGTCGGTAGCCAACGAGAGAAAAGTCCACAGACAGCATTAGAGTCAACATGTTCACCTGGCGCTTCAAACTGATCCTGCTGCTGGCCCAGGCGCTGAGCGGTCAGGCGGGCTACATTGGTGGCGATGTGGCATCCGGTGTCCATTCACCCGGACTGCTGGGCAACTATGCGGGCGGCCTGAGTGGCGGCGAGGCGTTGGCCAAGCTGGATCTGGGATCTGGAGCGAGCGAACTGCATGCGGATCACGAGCAGCTGGGCGAGCTGGGCGATCACCTGAGCGAGCACAGCTTTCCGGCGGACTATGGCAACAGCGATGCGGGCGTGGAATATGCCGAGGCCAGCGAGCTGCATGCGCACTACGAGCCGGAGCTGGAGCACTACGAGCACCATGAACACCATGAACACCATGCCGAGGAGCCGGTGCCCGGCATTGATCACGGCAAGGGCGCCTTCAGCTACAGCACGCTCTACGAGTTCAAGGATCGACAGGAGCACGAGCACCACCAGCTGCAGCATCAGCTGGAGGAGCAGCACATCCAACAGCAGCAGGAGCTAGAGCATCAGCACCATTTCTTCGAGCACCAGCTGGACTCTTACTAAGTCCCTGTGATAGTCAACGTTTCTACTAGCTAAATTTTTTTTCATTCCCAATACAGATATATTGTACATATACATATACATACATATATATAAGAAAGACACCTTTTTTTTTTTTTGCAATAAATCAGCCAAGTTTGTCGTGTAATCCGCGGAGCATCTACTTAGCGTCCATGGGACTGCACATAGTGCGGCCAGTCCAGATTGTCGCTGACTGTGAGTCGCGGCTCGGCAGCTGCTGGCATGCGCACAGGCAGCAAATCCTCCAGCCTGTAGATGTGCGGCCAGTTGGCAATGGACCCGCCTGGATGAGATGAGCCACTGTGGCCGTTGCCGTTGCCGTTGCCTGGGAGCAGCAAATGCGTTTGCTCATCTGGCGCCAGCTGCAGCACGGCAGAGCTGATGTGGATGATCGGAGTGTAGTCTAAGAGGGAGAAGAGATATGTATATTAGACATAAGTTAATTATAGTCCTAGATATATTTACCATTTTCCATGCGGTGTCCATCGCTGCTCAGCTGGTGGTGCTGGTGGTGCTGTTGCTGCCGCTGCTGCTGCTGCTGCTGCTGGTGTGGTTGTTTTTGGTGGGGCCAGGCTTCGACACCCGCCAGCACTAGCGCCAGCAATTGCATCAAGTATACGCCTCGCTTGCACATTGTGTCTTAGGCCAACTGCCAGCCACAGCACACAGCGTTGGGCAATTTATATGCGCGGCCAGCGGATGTCTCGCGTCTTGGCTGAACGGCTATTGGGGTCCCAGCGTTGACAACTTGATCAGCTATCAACGAGCGTGTCAAGTGCAGATAAGAATTTACAACTAGCTGCGCCAATAACTCACAATAATTGCCCAGTTTGAAGGAATAGCTTGAAATATGCGGGAGAAGTTTGAAGAGAATTGTAAAGAGAAATATGGAAATTTATTTTGTAATGCTAATGCATAGATTGCGATCCATATGAGAGGCCTTTAGTGCACAATCAAGAATTTGTATTTTTTATTACTATTTATTCATTCACTCATAATATGCAAAGAGTAGACAAGGAAAAGTGGTTCGACCTGGATATTCTTCAGCGATCTATGTCGCACTCAGATGAGTGACCTGAAGCGTTAATCATCGCTCCGCTTTCTCTCCATTTACTTAACACTGATGAGGATTACTAGGAGCAGTTCGTAAGAGCAAATAAAGCTCCTGCCTGAACATTTACTTCAGTTTTTCAGGTCCTACTCAAATTTAGAATCAAGTATGCTTCGATTTTACTGTCAAGCCCTACTTAGATATGCACAAGGAGATTTTCAGTCAGTATCGTTCCAAGCTCGAACCTTACGCATATAACAATTTTTTTTAATAAAGTGCCCCATATATAAATAAATATTTCGAGACTTAAAAAATGGAGGAAACTTACAACAATGGTAACTAATAATACAGCAAAAAAAAAAATAATAATAATAATAAATAAATACTCTATACCGAATGCTTAACAAAATTTAACCAATATTTCAGCTTCTGATATGGATATATCCGAGACCAATCAATCACAACAGCGTTTTCGCAAGCGGAGGATAACAATTGATCAGAGTCCCATTCCCATTAAGAGACTGAAGATGAGCATACGTGCATACATTCTCATGTACATGACTTGGATGCTTTTTGGCAACACTTCAGGAAAGGCAACTAACTCAAAATAAACAAAACGAAATCTATTTATATAGACTGTATGTTAATAAATAACTTATTCAGTCTCGTAAGGCAAATGAAAAATATAGCAAAGTTGATTTATTTTTTTGACATTAGAGTTTTTATAAAATTAAAACTAAGTTGACATTAAGCACGGCCTACTGAAGCCCTTGGATCAAGTTATTTTGATATGATACTAAAGGAAACCGTTTCGCACGAATATTTAGCAAAAATGTCGTACTTATATGTAGTAAATACCCGAACATTATAGAGGCTTTCATATGGATTTTTAACCGATTCTATCATCATAGATAATATGTATATATTATGGTAAAACACGATCTTAATGGTTAAATAACTTTTCTCTCCACTTTAATAGTTTAGATATATAAATCAATATTAGATTACTGTCAATTCAATTTCCATTCATCTCGTAATATTACAAATTCTGTTTTATGATCAAATATTTCCTATAATGGAACAGTCCCACTCAAGTCCAAGTCCGCTTCAGTGCCAGCGATTGATTAGCATTCGCGCTTGATTACATTTAGCAGTTAGGTGATAAATTTTCTAATATGTACATATACATACACACACACATCTCTACATATGTCTATTTATGTAGAACACCTCGAGACCAGCCCAAAACCCCAACAAACTAAACAGAAATGCTGAAACTAAAAATTCCCCAAAAAAAAAAAAGGAAAAAAAGCAAATTAAAATACAACGGCAGCTATTCAAATTCTCGATTACATAACCATATAAGGTCAAAATAATTTGCGGCTATTTGGTTTTGAGGATATTGCACAATGAGCTGACTTTTATTCTCGTTTTATACTATTTACACAGAGTTGAGAAGACGAGCAATTTGGGAGAACATTTATTCGATAATGTATTTAAAACTAAAAAAAAAAAGATTAATAATTTTAAACAGTTGAGTAGATATACATAGATCGTGGGCAGTTAGTGTAGCAAGCTCGTGGGGGCGTGGGGGATAAGGGTGTGGCAGCTGCTGAGCTGCCTAGCAGCCGGACGCCAATTTCTCCCAGATGCCGCCGCTCTTCCAGCCGCCGTTGTTGTAGCTGGCACCACCGTTGTTCCAGCCAGCATTGCTGTAGCTGGCACCACCGTTGTTCCAGCCAGCATTGCTGTAGCTGGCACCACCGTTGTTCCAGCCACCGTTCCAGCCGCTGCCAGCGCCCGCGGGCGGTCCGTAGACTGGGCTGGGCAGGTGGTTGGTGCCGCTGTTGGCATCGTCGACAATGACCTTGATGGTCTTCACGTATTGGCGCGACACGGGCTGTGGTGCGGGCACTGGATATGAGACTGGAGCTGGCTGCACGTTCACCACCGGCTGTGGTGCGGGCACTGAATATGAGACTGGAGCTGGCTGCACGCGCACCACCGGCTGTGGTGCTGGCACGCTGTATGTCACTGGTGCTGGCTGCACGCGCACCACCGGCTGTGGTGCGGGCACCGAGTAGGTAATCGGAGCGGGCTGTGGTGCGGGCACCGAGTACGTAATCGGAGCGGGCTGTGGTGCCGGAGCGGAATAGGTCACTGGCGCTGGTGCGGGAGCGGAGTAGCTTATGGCTGGCACGGCCTGAGCCACAGCGCTGGTCTGGATGGTCTGCACGGGAGCGGCACTTGCGTAGCTGTTGGAAGAGGCATAGCTGCTGCTGCTGCCGCCGCCATAGCCACCGCCATAACCACCGCCATAACCACCACCATAGCCACCGCCATAGCCACCGCCATAGCCGCCACTGGAACGAGCATAGCTCTGAGGCTGCTCAATCACTTTGATGACCTTGATGACTTGTTCACCGCCGCCATAGCCGCCGCCATAGCCACCGCCATAACCACCGCCGTAGCCACCGCCATAACCACCGCCGCCTGAGCTATAGACTGGACGGCTGGACTGTGTGTAGTAGCCCTGGTTGTATCCGCCGGAGTAGCCGCCGCTGCCATAGCCGCCGCCGTAGCCACCGCCACCACCGCCGCCGCCGCCGCTGCCACCACCGGTAATGGCCTTCAGCAAGGCCAGCTTGGCGCCCAGGAAGGCCTGGGCGGGCGCACCGAGCGCCAGCACGGCAACCACAATGCAAACGAAGAGCTTCATCTCTTTGAACTGAACTGGATACGGATATGGATAAGTGCGTGCGCTGCCTGGTCTAGACAAAACTCAACTGATGTTCCCAAATGCCGATACGCACAAATTTATAGGCCAACGCAGCAGCCAGCGTCGACTGCGACGCTGTCCCTTGTGTCCGTGTCTGTGTGTGCGTGTGCGTGTGCGTTTGTGGTTCTAATAATACAAATCTTATGCTTTAAGCTGGACCCGATCGACAGCAGCAGCAACGACAGCAGCAACAGCAGCGACACTTTGGAGCTCATCAAGCTGTTTGCTTAATTCATAAATAGTTACTTATGGGCCACACCGCAATGCCAAAAACTAAGGCGCGTCCCAACAGCCAGCCGATTGTCCAACTATCCAGACAGTCAGCCATCCATCCATCCGTACAGATAGCTTTTTTAGCCAGCTATGCATTTGTGTGCGTGTGTGTGTGTGTGTGCATGTATGTGTGTATGTGTGTATATATTTGGCGTGCTATCCAGCGATCTGTCGCCCTGTCGCCTCGATGTGTGTCTGTCAAGTCTACTACTTAACCATAAACTGAGATATTTTCTCACCTCTCTGGGCAAATAACACTTGCGTTTGCTGTCAGCCGTCAAAACGATTCGCAAGAAGCGCAGGTAATTCCCAAAATGTCATTACACTGCAAGAAACAGTGGATCGCTTTGTATACATTTATATATATATCAGAGTCGAACTGCCATAATCCTCGCTTAATTTCTCAAGAATAAAGTTATGCTGAATAAAAAATATTTATTTTAAAATTTTTTTATTTTTTTATTTTTTATTTATTTATTTTTTATTTTTTTATTTTAAATTATAAAATTTTTTATATGTAAACTATTTAGTAAAATATATCTTATGCTTATATTTTTGTGTTTTTAATTTGATGTATTACAAAAAATCTATTTTCAATTTAAAATTCTCATAAAATTCTTAAACATTTACTGCATAATCTTTTCTAATTTTCTCAGACGAATTTGCAAGGTAATAAAAATAATAAATATTTTATTTATAATTTGCTGAATCATAAGAAAAATAAGTAATTAAATATTTTTGTAATTATAATTTTATTTAAGTTATTTTACTCAGCTTGTTTAATATTTTAAAGCTATTCTTAATTTTAATAAATTGTAAATATTTTTCAAAATAAAGTTCTTAAAATATTTCTATTCAAAGGCCCCACCGTTTGTCCATATGCATGGAGAAACCCATTTAAAATTTTTATTTATTTAATATTTAGTTTCTTTTTTGTTGGAGTGTATGGCTCGGTCTTAGGTTCTTGATGAAGATTGATAACTTTTAATTAATGTTAAATATGTTAAAAGGCTTTTGAAACTTTAAAACTTTCTATTGCTACTTTTCTTATTTACTTTATGTTTACTGAACTTATTTTTGCAATTACTTTTAATTTGTTTTTCTTATTTAATTTTCTGTGTTTTTTCGTTTTTGTTTTTTTGTTTTTTTTTTTTTTTTTTTTTGCCATAGTCAAAATTTTATAATTTGTAATAAAAATTGGCTTGATTTTTATGAAGGGTATAAATCTCTTGTTTGCATTTCACACTCGATTAGGCTTTTCCCTTGGCAATATAAATATCTATATATGTATATAGTATGTATGTGTGTATATATGTGTATATTTTTCTCAGTGTCAACACATTCGCACATCACCCATTGTATGTATGTATTGAGGAGCTGCGACCCAAGCGCCCATTGTCGCTCATTCGGGCTAGATCTTGTGCATGGCTCCACGTAGCAGACGGCTTTGGCCCCAGCTCCCGCTGTGGCTCGATGTGCTAACCGAGCGAGCAAAATGCTGTGCAAACAGATTCCAGCATTCAGCTTAAAGTTAAGCCGAGTCTAGAGCGTAAGCCACGTCCGCTGCGCAAAGGGCGCGTATCGCAGCCATTTTTAGGGGCCCACGTCTAACAGCCATTAGTAATACCCGTTTTTATTTTTGGCCCAAACGTGTATGCAAATTGAATCGCATATCAATTTACAAAGTTTACACCAGATGCCGCTGGTCTTTATGGCAGACGTGCAACATATGTATTCACAAGTTCTCAAACAAGCTCTAGGAATATCGCAGCTGATAGTCTAGTTACATTTATAGTTGAACTTGTACAAATATTGCTGAATGGGCCGTTGGCATGGCTCGTTGCTTTATCGGACAATTGTTGAGCCGGCAAATCGTATTTGCCTAAGACATGAGAATAGGAATTCAATTACCCAACCCGGATGTTCCCGACATATACATGCATCATCTCTTATGTATGTATATATGTTATGCTTTATGTGTACACTCTATACTTAGAAGAAACATCGAATTCTTTTTTCTACGCTGGCGTTAGCTAAATCCAAGTGGCCATACTACGTCCGAAGAGACCGTTAGTCCCCGAAGATAAACCGAATAAAACTTAAACCGAATAATTCCAAAGCCAACGACCCAGTAAAGCTCTAACAAAAATATAAAAAAATAAAGAAATAAATAAATAAATAAATAAAAACACAAAAAAAAAAAAAAAAAAAAAAAAAACAATTTATGTACAACTTAGTATTAGACCAAAAAAATATATGTTAATATAATATATGAGGTCAGTCTAATGTCAAAAAGATTTTTGCCACTTTTTGCTCGCTTTATGAACAACAAAATTCTTTTAGTTTTTCTTTACGAAGAACCAAACGCTCCAAAATTTTCGAAAAAAAAAAGTACAGAAATAAATAACAAAAATTGATTATATGTTAAATTTAATATTCGTTTTATTCTATCACTAAATTTGATTGCTTGACGCTTGAAGCCAGTCGCACTGCTATTTTCCTGAACACGGCTGGATTACATAAATCATGCTTGGTTAGATGAATAGATGAGCTTAGGCCTTAGGCATATAGCTGTTCTTTATCTCTCTATATAGACAAAAGAAAGCTCGCTCTGCCCCGTTGCATATAAATTACTTCAACTATTTAAAAGTGTTTGCTTGTTGTTTGACTTGTGATTTTTTTTTTTTTTTTTTTTTTTTTTTTTTTTTTTTTTTTTTTTTTTTTTTTTTTTTTTTTTGAACTTGGCAAATATGAAATCATAGCCAATTTACACATTGGCCAGACCTCAAGCTTTTGGGCCGTTTCGAGTGGCAGCAATTTGTAGCCAAGTGGCGTGCCATCACCATATTCTTGGGCCACTGTTTGGCTTGAAGTTTGGGTTTGGCCCCGCTCGTTTGGCACTTCATTACCATTTGTGACTGTGGCGAGCTAAGTGGATCTGTCCACACGGATTGCGAGGCTGTGCACCGGCCGGGCTCAACTACTCTCAATTTCAATTTCAATTTCGTTTCCCTACCCAGACCTATTTGAAGGTCAACGCACATCTTCGGCTCGTGTGGCAATTGTTGGCCCACGAATTTGGTAATTGACAAATTACGAAACTCAATTGCACAAATGCCAGAAAATTCATGATTACTGATCCAAATTCACATTGAGCTTTGAGCTAGAGAGAGATTTTTCTTTTGATAATTCTTTGGGATTTCCAATTAAACAATTTATTTATTCATAATTTACGTTTTGTTTATTGTTTACAAAAAAAAAAAAAGAGGAGACATTTATTTAGGGATATTCGTATGTGTTATATGTATGAACAAGTCGCTCTCAGTTGTTACAGTAATCACCGCCTAGCACCAACCGCCACCGCCCAGGGCGGCGGGCGCGCCGAAGCCCAGTCCAAAGCCACCGCCGACGCCGTAGCCATTGCCAATGCCATATGAAATGGGCAGTGCTGCACCACCGGCGTAGCCACCATAGCCTCCATAGCCGCCATAGCCGCCGCCAATGCCGCCTCCATAGCCGCCTCCATAGCCGCCTCCATAGCCACCGCCAATGCCGCCGGCTATAACAGGTGTTGCCACCGACGTCACCACGGGCGTGACCACGGCCGAGGTGGATATGGCCGGAGCGGCGCCAACGAAGCCACCGCTGGCATAGCCGCCTCCATAGCCACCGCTATAGCCGCCGCCATATCCTCCGCTGGGCAGCACCGATACCTTGATCACCTTGACAATGTTCTCGTTGCCATAGCCATAGCCGCCGCCGTAGCCACCGCCGTATCCGCCGCCGTAGCCACCACCATAGCCACCGGCTGAATATGGATAGGCTGCGCCATAGCCGCCGCCAGTGCCGCCCACCACCAGGCCCAGCTTGCCAAAGGTGGCCTCGCCAGGTGCTGCCAGCGCCAGCAGCAGTAGAGCGGGCAATGCTAGAGCATAGATCTTCATGTTGATGAGTTGGGCCTGGGCTTATCTATCCACAAACTGTTTTGCTTCGTATTTAAGTTTTTGGTTTTCAATCCGTGCTCTCGACTGGACACCTTGTGCTGGCTGACTGTTGAACTTTGTTGACCGCCAGCGGGCATTTATAGCCAGCTGCGAGTGGAGGGCGGACAATGGCCGGTTATTGTTGTGGCACCCCGGTTGCCCGGTTGCCCTTTGGCGGGCATTGGTCAAACGTGTGAATTGCGCGAATGAGCAACCAACTAACTAACCAGGTAGACCTCCGCACGAAACGCTGCAAATATGTCAAAGTCTATTTGCTTAGCCCTGGTTAACTGCTGCGCGGTGATCACCCTTAGAACCCACCAAAGAAACCCAACAATATCCGGAATACGAAAAACCAACAAAATTACCTGTGAATTGTCTCATCTTTTTTTGACGAAGGAGGGAGGGTGGGGGAAGGAGAATGTGACTATTGTAATTGCTAATGGGCGTTAAGGTGAAATTAACACTTTCGCTTTCAATAGCCGCCTGCATAATGTGATCTAATCAACAGCGATCAGGCAACTGCTTGATCAGCCGGACACACACGAATCACATTTGTGTGTGTGGCTTTGCACAGCTGCTCGGCATTGACAATGCGAGTGTATGCACCGCTGCCCAGTATCTATATAAAGTGGCTCATTGTTATCCAATCTGTTGGGTACACACGGCTCACTGAGGCAAACATCAGCTCTATTTTGTGGCGAGAAAAGCTCTCATCCAGTGGCAACCGCTCGCCGTAAATCGGTCCAATCAGAACTCTAAATAGAATTTCCCTCCCAATTTCGCTTGGCTTCTGATTGGCCAACATTTTATTTCCATCGCTCTTTGTTTGCGGCTAGGAATACTGGGAATACTTGGAAGTGCAGTGTAAGAAAATAATTTAATAATTGCTTCAAATTTCAATCCTTAGATCTGCGTTTGATCTTGAGCTGAGCTATATATTTATATAGTCCAATAAGAGAATTAATTGTGAGCTTCGATTCTCAGCTTTGTCTCTTTCGTTTTCTCGGTCTCTCTCAGTTTATTCTAGTCCCTCACCCACTCACTCTCTTTTTTGTCTCTTTCTCACTCTCTTTTATCTTGACTTCTGTCTCTCTCTCACTCTCTCTCTCTCTCTCTCTCTCTCTTTTTCAATCTACCTTTCTCTCTCCCTATCTCCCTTCTCTCTTCTGTCTTCCTATCTCAGAATTCCTCTATATCTTCTTCTATTTTTCCCACCTCCTCTTTATCACTTTGTGTTTCCTTTTCCCAGGCTCATTCTCATAGTCTTTCTCTTCCTATTGCTCATTTTATGCCCCTTCCTCTTTTTCATTTTTTTCCTTCTCAATCTCTTTATACTTCTCACCATCATTCTCTGCCCTTCCACAGCTTCGATTGTTCTGATTTGATTAATCTAAAAGTTACACAAATAGCAGGCTGTTCATTTATTTAGAAAGACAGCGAGTTGGCTGAGTTTACTAAATATTCTAGATATTCCATAAAATTTTCACATAGAGCACGAGCTCTATTAAGAATATAAGTATTAAAAATTCCCAGTATTATAGTAGATAACCCTCTAGCGCCATTCTGGACACGTTCAGTGAACACAAAATTCTAAATTGTATGTAACCTTGTTGTTGGCGTTGCAGTTGCCAGAATGAAAAGTCGATTAAAGAAAAAGAAGAGCAGCAGAGACGTGAGGCCATGCGTGAGCAAAAGCAGCAGCAAGACGACATTACCACTGCCGCTACATATCTTCGGGCTGGTGTCCAGGGAGAGGCCTTGGCCGCGTAAAGAACGCAGCTGCATCTACTATAGCACTGACTGCGATAAAACGGCGCTGATCAACAACTTTCAGAAGAGGGGCTGGCACAAGGTGCCCGCCTTCGATGGCGAGTGGAATCTGTACTGGGCGTGCGCGCAGAACTGTCGTTACATCTTTGGGGTCGATCATCCCTATCGCATGCGATCCGATCAGTAAGTATGCATGCAGATCTATATAGAGAGGTACAGGTATAGACATAGTTACTCATGTAGCGATCTATGTAGTTGTGGTAAGAGATTTCCATATACGATCTGATACATCTAATACTTTTGCAGAATAATCAATCACTTCCCCAACTCGATGGAACTGTCGCGAAAGGATCTGTTGATAAAGAACATTAAGCGTTATCGCAAGGACTTGGAGCGCAAGGGAGACGCATTGGCCGCAACGCATCCGAATGATACGAAATTGGGTGTGGGCGGCACACGCTATATGCACCTGGATATAATACCGATGACATTTGTACTGCCCGCCGATTACAATTTGTTCGTCGAACAATTCCATAAGAATCCGGCGAGTACCTGGATTGTGAAGCCATCGGATAAGTCACAAGGTGTTGGCATCTATCTGATCAACAAACTGTCCAAGCTCAAGCGGTTCGCCTATGAGGCTCGCACATTCTATCCCCACTTTCATCGCGACACCTGCGTCATCTCCAAGTACATTGACAATCCTCTACTCATTGGTGGCAAAAAGTTTGATCTGCGACTGTACGTGCTGGTCACCTCATTCAATCCGATCAAAGCTTATCTGTATAACGAGGGCTTCTGTCGCTTCTGTACCCAGAGATACGATCAGACCGAGATCGATAATGTGTACATGCATCTCACGAATGTTAGCATACAAAAGAATAATGTAAATCACATTCATCACCTATGTTTAATGATCATCATTATTACCATCATCATAATTCTCATCCTCATCTATATCCTGCAGAAGGAATACAATTCGATACATGGCGGCAAATGGTCCATGCAAAATCTCTGGCTCTATTTGGACAGCATACGTGGCGAGGGCGTATCGAAGACACTATCTTCCCGTATATTGGAGACGATACGACATTCTCTAGACGCTGTAGCCCCGGTGATGGCCAATGATCGGCATTGCTTTGAGGTGTATGGCTATGATATTATTATCGATAACAATCTGAAGCCGTGGCTTATCGAGATCAATACATCGCCATCCATTCACTCGACCACGAAGAACGATTGCACACTGAAGACGCGCCTGATCGATAATGTCCTGGATGTGGTCATACCACCCGGAGGAATGCCCGAGTGAGTACATGGATAGCCATGGCAAAGCCCTATATCCTATACAGTTTCCTTCCCGTATGCTCAACAGTGAACGCTGGTCCAAAACGCCCAGCAAGGAGTCCCTAAGGAACTTTACTCCGATAACACCCGTTGAGCTGCCAAAGGCACCAAATCAAAGCCGACAGCCCACCTCATTGGCTGGTGCTGGTGAAGGCGGTAACTGTTGCCGCAATAAAAGTACTAGTAAGTCTAAAAATAATGGTCACCGACTGGCGGGCGGTGCATTGCCCTCGGTAACGACCAAGGCGACATCCAAGCTGCTGCTGCCCTCGGGAACGTCGGCCGGGATGCGGCCCATATCGAAGAAAACAGGCCAGAAATCCAAGTCGAAGCCAAAGTCAACGACGAAACGCGCCGCCACTGGAGCTGCGCCTACAAAGATCTCGTCCAAATAATTAATCACTTGGCAGATCAATTGCAGCACTTGACAATTACGGTTAGACAGTTCCCCGGTCAGACGAAGAGCAACAGAAACTATCAGCGTTTCGGGGTGAGTGCTCCAACAGTTCCCAATCAATTTGATGTCAGTGGCAATTCAACAGCCAAATTATGGGAGACTTTGCTATTTGTATTGAGTTGCTCACAAAATAATCCCAATACACATATTTTACCGTACTCTGTTTTTTTTCTACACACATTTTGAAGTTTAATGATTGCTGTATGTCGTTAGTAGTTCTTTAATTCCATTCAATTCAATCTGAAATGGTTGGGATGTGCCTAATAAATCCTGTAAAACTTCTTTGATCGAACCTGCTTAGCTAGGAAATGCCCAAAACTACATGAACTACAACGAAACCTTTGTATGCATTACAGGAAACCCTACAGATAATTGGACGTTACCATCTTTTGGTGGATTGGTATTCAAGGTACGCTAAGAAAGCACGAAGTCAAATCATTCTTTTCGATAATCGAGAAATGGGTCAAGTATCGAAATATATTATGAATTTCTACTACGTAAATTTCAACTTTGGAGCTTTTACAGGACGATTTACAAAATTTCTCCACTCATACAGATGAAGGGACAAATATACCGAGAGATATTCGATGGACGGACAAATGGGTACACGTACAAACAGACGAATATATATACGAGCAAACCATATGCCGACTTAGTTTGTCGTCTGAAGAAGAATATACCCTGCCACGCCTACAAAACCATTATATCCTGAATGCCCCGTTTAAATGGGCATAAATGCATTATGGGAAATCATAGCTCAGATATGCTAGCGTCCCTTAGAGGTGTACGATGCTTACGGGGAAATTATAATAATTATCAAAATGGTCCTTAAATCGTATGATATATTGACTTCTATAACTCAAAAATAAAACACGCAGTTACTTATATGGATATATGAAAACTTAATTATTTAATTCGCAACAAAATTTTGCAATATACACAAAATACACAAATATTACAATATGTAGCGTAATGTGTATGGTTTCTATATGAATGCGCTCTCTAATATGAAGTTCTCTCGATGCAATGATGGGACATCTTTAAGCTGCACAATGTTTGCATTGCTAATTGCTAATACATATGTTAATTAAGTATTCCATATTTATAAGTACTTTCATATAATTGTAGCTTACGCAAAGATAATATTTATATTTATAGTTATAATTATAATTATAATTATAATAAAAAAAAAAAAAATTCTTGGGACTCTTAAGTTTCACTTCATATCTTCATCATTTTTTCTTTTGCATGGCGTCTGCTTTAAAGCTAAACGAAAAAAAAAAAAAACGTCTTTAACGGTATATGTAGATTAATATATATATATATACATATCTGTATATGCATATATGTCTAAAAATGTATGTATGTATATATGTCAGTTACATATTTACAGCATGATTTTGGCTTGGTTGAAGCGCCTAATACAATTCCAAGTATTTTTTATTTTTAATTTTTTTTCTTTTTCTTTTCGTTTTGTTTACAATAAATGTTAGCATAATTTAGGGAATATTTTAAGCAATGTTTACCATGTTTTTGCGACTTAATAGCAGCTTACATAAATAGATATTCTATGAAATGATATATGCGTTCGTTCTTTAGGTTTCAGTTACCTCAGCCTTCATTCTTTCGTTCCGCTGCGGCCCATACAATTCGAACTATATTTAATAATTATTTACACGGTCTTTGACTTTCGATTAATACAATTAATGTCTTAGCTTAATTATAGCGCAATGCATTGGTAAATCTTCGCAGATGGATATATAATATATATATTTAAATATTTTCGTATAGGAAGCAGCATTTACATTTGCTCTCTTCCTCTCTCTTTACATGGAATACTTTCATTGTATAATATAATTTTAATGAGCTTAACTATGCATGTGTGTGTGTGTATGTTGGGGCTATCTGGCCCCTCTTGTCAAATAATGAAAATATACAATATATATGTATTTATATATTAATTATAAATGTGTTAAAAAAAAAAAAATGAATTTAAACTGCTTTCCAGTTGATTGCTTGCTCTGCCGGCCGCTGGCGACTCGCACACTGCGACCTGTCTGTCTCCTCCTGGCTGCGTGGCTACCTGGCTGTCTGGCTACCTGGCTGTCTGGCCAGTCAGCACTCGGTGGCATAGTAGAAGACCTCCACCTCGCTCAGCTCCGAGTGCTGGCTGTGCTGGTGGCCCTCCACGAGGACGTCGCGTGTGGCGCGCGCATGCGCCAGCACCTATAGTCACACCTTCGACGCATGCGGCTGGGCGCCGGCAGCGCTGCCGTATTGCGACTGCGACTGCGCTGTCGCTATCTTCTGCACGGTCTGGTAGGTGGGTTGCTGCGACTGCGACTGCGACTGCGACGGTGACTGTGTCTGCGCCTGCTGCATGCCGGTCTGCTCCCGAATGGTCACCTGGGTGACGAACGGTCCACGGCTGCGGGCGCTGCTGTTCAACGATGCCGGCGAGTAGCCGTTGAGGGCCGCTGCCTTCCAGTGGGGCTGCGCCACATTCACGCTGATGGGCGACGACGTGGCATTGCCGCCGTTGTGGTGCCCGCTGTGATTGTGGCCATGGCTGTGGCTGTGACTGTGGCTGTGGCTGTGGCTGTGCTTGATGCTGCCCACGCGCTGCTGCTGCACCGTGTCGTACTCGTAGTAGCTGCTCATTGGCCGCATTCCGTTCGACTGCTGATGGCCAGCGGCAACGGCGGCCGCCGACGGGGGCAGCGGCAACGGTGGCTGCTGCCCGCTGGAATTGGAGTGCATGCTGATGTCCTGGGAGCGGGCGCTGCGCTGCGAATGGTAATGCTGATGGCGGCGACTGCAAAAGCGCAAGAGGCAAAGTTCGCATATAATACAAATGAAGAAATGAGTTTAGCACATATGAGTGTTTGAGTGTATGTGTGTGTGTGTGTGTGTGTGTGAGACATATATTAAGCCAAACCATAGCTGTGTGTTAGTATGTGTGTTACCGTTACCTTTCGGCCTCGACCTTGATGCGCTGCCTGATCACCTGCTGTCGCATGCACTCGAGCGTCGACTCCGAGAGCGTCTCTTGAACGCTGTCGCTGTCGTGTGTCCAGTGTTGGTTAATGCATTAATTATAGTGTATGAGCATGTAGTGGGACGATGCGATGGGTTCGTGTTGTCGTGTGTGAGTGATCGTGTAGTGGTGTGTATGAACAGTATGAACAGGGAAGAGAGACATACATATACATGTACATGACACGGTGTGCACAGAGTAGAAAGAGAAAGAGAGAGAGAGACATGAAACAGAGCAACGGGTTAATAACAATACACATATACACATCGAACAGTGCTAAACACATAAATAGAGACAATTTTGAGTGCAATATGTACATATAAATTGAAAAAGGTCCTTTAGGTAAACCCTAGGAAAACCTGAGTGAGAATTTATGCGAGTTGCTTCTAAGCCAAACTGAATTTAGTTGTAAATTAATAATAATAATTTATAAGATTTTTACTATATACTCTGCGTACATTGAATTTAGTCTCATATGTATGATAATAATTTAATTTTAAATTTAAATTTTTTGAAATTCTAAGATTTAATAGCTAGGAGCATGAGCTTTCAGTTCAATTCTGTAAAATTTCCTAGAATACCTAAAATATGCGGACATTAAATTAATTTTTTTTAATCATAATACAGTAGAATCCGATTAAAACGGCGCTCAAGGGACCGTTGATATACCCGGAAGACGCTTTAACCATATAAGTTTAGTAAGCGTAGTGGTTATAAGTGGATTCTACTGTATTTTCCTGCGTTATTATAAAACACAAATAATAATTCGACATACCCTAAGATTTCATTACAAGATTACAATAAATTTCAAGTGGAGGCTTTTCATCCACTTCCCTCTAGCATCTAAATATATCAAACAATGTTCAAATAAAATTCTATGTAAATATGATATCTCAGCTGTACAGACATAAAATAAGTCTAGACTCTGTATAAAGAATAATAAAATTGCTTTAATCTAAATGTAATAAGCATATATTGAATATCGCATAACAATAAACAGTTCGAAAATCGTTTTCCAAAAATGTTTTACAAAAAACTTCAGTAAATGTCATCTAATAAATCTATATACATATGTACAATTCAGAGCCACTGCATAACCCTAGTTTACACACTGTTCAACAGTAAATTCAATCAGATTTCCAAGTACTCAGACATATCTGCAGTATCAAACTTGAATATAGTTCTGTGAGCCCAAGTTTACTCAATACTATCTTGCCATACTATCTAGGTAAGTATATCTGAGTATACCTGAATATGCATCTCGATATCTTGACTTTTACATACTTCAACATGCAAAATGTTTGTTAGAGCCAGCACCACTTTATATATACATAAATGAACACAATGAGGGGTGAGGTAAATGCAAGCAAGCCCCAAGCCCAGCTCACCTAATCTGATGCTGGTGCAGGTCTTCATAGTTCGCGTAATGCTGATAGCGATGATTGAATATGTCATTCTGGTGTATGCCACCATTCAGTGTGGCAGCAGCTGAGTCGCGTCCAGGCCCCACGGCACCACCGCCACCCGCTGCATTGGGTGCGGGCAGCGGTGGCGGCGGCTGATACGCTGGCGGCTTGCCATTGCGCTCCAGTGCAGCAAGCGCTGCGGCTGGTATCTGCTGCTGCTGCAGCTGTTGCAATTGATGCTGCTGCTGTTGGTGCTGCTGCTGCTGCTGCTGCTGCGACTGTCCATTCATGGGCTGCGCCGTTGAGCCAATTGCAGACGTGGCATATGTGTCAACGGGCACAACGCCATCCTTGCGGTTCTTGCCGAAGCGGAACATGTGCCCGATGCCCCGCAGGATGCTCGGCTTCTTGGCGCGCGACTTGCTGCCGTGCTTGCCATCGTTGAGGGAGCTCTGGAACGGCCCGTTGCGCTGCGAGGCAAAGCCGCCCTCGTGATCGCCCTCCTCCAGCAGCCAGGTCTTGCGCGGCTCTGAAAGCAAATGGGAGAGAACATTGCGTTAGTCAATTCTGGCTGATTTAGAGCTGCAATTGCGGCTGCTCACTGTTTGCATCCGGTTCGCTGACAACGGCGGCGCGCAGACTATCCTCACGTCCGCGTCCACGTGGCGCACGCAGCGCATGATGTGAGCGCGGCTCATCCGACATTTGCAGCTCCTGCACCATCGTCTGCAGCGACTCCAGCGACGACGACTTCTTCAGGCCTAGCGATGGTCCCAGATCGCCCAGTTGGTCGCGCGCCTCGGCCTCGGCGGCCAGCAGCAGCTGCTGCTGCTGTTCCCGCTGCTCGATGTGGGAGCTGGTCTTGGCGTGCTTATACCCAGCCGCTGCTGCCGCCATTTGGGCATTGGCGCTGGCTATGCGCGCCGTCAGCGACTCAATGGAGCCCCCATAGACAGCCGATTTGGTTAGCTGAATGCGACGTTCCCGCTCCCGTTCCTCACGCAGCTTCTTGTTGCGCTGATAGGTGCCCGTCTCGCGTGCATCCAGCGCCGCGTGATGCTTCTCGGAGATGCTGCGTCTGCCGAGCGCATCGCGCGAAAAGTGCTCCACACCGGAATTGTTCGTCTCCAGGCTCAGCTGCGAGGAATACGTGGCATCGAAATTACCAGCCGCGGCCGGCGCTGCCACGCCGCTCGTCTGTCCCATCCCGACGCTCGTCTGCGATGTGTTGGCGCTGCTCGTGTTGCAGTGCTGGCCATCGTGTGTGCGCACCGGCAGCGTGCTGCAAATAAACGAAATCCAAGAGTTGAGAGAGAGAGTGAAGGAGAGGTAGGGCGGGCTGACAACTTACGGTGACATGGGCTCCGCATCGTCCTCAATGAGCAGCGCCGTGTTGCCATGCCCATTGAGCAGCTGCAGCGGCGCCGGCGACCAGTTGTCATTGGTGGCCATGTAGTAGCTTTCGTTGCGCAAGGCGCCGCTGTTGCCGCCCAGGGGCGTGGGCGGCAAGCGACGCTGCTGCGACTGCGACTGCGATTGCTGCTGCTGCTGATGCTGCTGCTGTTGTTGTTGTTGCTGCTGTGTTGGCTGTGTTGAATTCGCGGAGCAAATGCCACCGGTTAGACGATCCAAAACGGGATTGCTCCATCTGTGGAGAGAGTGAGAGAGAGAGAGAGAGAGGGAGTGAGCGAGTGAGTAAAATAATTTCAATCGGAACGCACCTATTCATATCGCTGCCAGGTCCGTTGCCACAGCCGCGCGGCTCGCGTTTCTCTGGACTCAGATAGATGACCGTGGCGCCTGAGTTGTCACTGGCATTGGAGCTGCTGTTGTTGTTGTTGTTGTTGTTGCTGTTGCTGTTGGTGCCGCTGCTGTTGCTATTGCTATTGCTGTTGCTGTTGCTGTTGCTGTTGCTGTTGCTGTTGCTATGGCTTTGACTGTGCTCCAATATGTCACTGGAGCTGGCCGAGCGCAAGATTTTGCGTCCGACTAGCAGGGTAATTGTGCCCGGATGCTTGCCCGGTTTGTTGACCATGGCACGGCGCAGCGTCTCCATGGCCTCGGCATTGTTTTGGCCGCGCAGCGAGACGCCATTCACACTCAGCAGCTGATCGTTCATGCGCAGGCGGCCGTCGCGCGATGCGGCCCCGCCATGGATCACGTTCTTCACAAAGATGCCCAGATCGCCGTCGTGTTTCATGTTGCTGTTGCTGTTGGGCGTGGACGCGTTCAAGTTCGAGCTCGTCTTGCCCTTCACGCTGACCCCCAGGCCAGCCTTCTCGGTGTCGTGCACGGGTATGTGGAGTGTCAGCTCCTCCCGCGAATGCCAGCTACTGCTGCTCGGCGGCAGGCTGTCCTGTGGATGCAATGGCGAGAGAGAGAGAGAGAGAGAGAGAGAGAGAGAGAGAGAGAGAGCGAGAGAGAGAGAGAGAATGAGATCAATAATTGATAATTATCATTACAATTGAACTAGTTCAAATGATGCTGATGGATCTAGGAGATAGGGATATAAATGAAGTCATGTTTTTGTTCTAAAATGAACTAGTTCTTTTGAATAAGTCATGCCCAACAAAATATCTGCAATTTCCACATATTTATATTGGAATACATATAACTCGTATACTAATAAAAATTCTATCCAAAGGAACTAGTTCCATGCAACTAACGAATTAGTTCCTAATCTACTTCTCATTCAAAAAGAGATCTATTTAAATGAATTCACTCTACTTCCATCTGACTCTAGTTCATTGATCATCTACACAAGTTGAAGCAATCTATTATGCTGGAACTAGTTCCGTGCGACACTTACATTGGAAGCCGCCGACTCGCTGCCCGCATCAATAAAGTGCTGAGATTCATTGAGCTGCGCCTGCTGCTGCAGCTGCTGTTGCTGGAAGAGCGAACGAGCGCTGCTCGACTTTTGCACCGGAATCGGAGCTGAAACTGGAACTGGCGCAGCTGGCACTGCCCTCTCCGCTGCTTCCGGGGGCTGTAAAAGAAAGTGATTGCAATTAAATACGATTCGAAAGTGAGCGAAACCAATTCAATTCAACTTACGCCAACGGGCATCTCGGCCAGCTCCTGCTGCCTGGAGACGACAATGCGAACTGTGGCGCCGGCGGGCATGCCACGCAGAATGGAGACCACATCCGTCTGGGTCTTGCCGGTCATGGGCGTGCCATCGACCTCGAGCAGGCGATCGCCGGGCTTCAGCCGGCCATCCTCGATGGCTGCGCCGCGCGGCAAGATGTTCTTAATATAGATGGGGCAATGCCCGCCCGCTGGGTTGTCGCGCGTGGTCACCGAGAAGCCCAGGCCGTTCGGGCCCTTCTTCAGCAGTATCTCGATCTTGCGGCCCAGCTTGCGGGTGTTGGCCACCTGCAGCGAGGTGCCCACCGGAGCGGCATGCGGTTTGCGTGTGGGTGACACGGTGGCCACCTCCACCATCTCGGCCACCTTGGAGTCGCGCCGCTGCTGCTGGCGTCGATGCTGGTCGCCGCGCAGCACGCGCACGCGCAGCTCGGAGGACTCGAGGGCACGGCGCAGCTGCTCCTGCACCTGGGACTCGCTCAGGCCAATCAGTTTGATGCCATTGATTTCGAGGATGCGATCATCACGACGCAAACGGCCACGCTCGGCCCGGCTGCCGGGCTCCACGTGCTGCACGAGCAGTCCGCCGCCGTGCTCCTTGTCCGGCATGGCCGTCAGGCCCAGCGGACTGCCGTACTCATTGATAATGAGCAGCATCTCGCCATCCTTTTCGCGTATGGACTCGTAGGCCTGACCCAGCGGCTCCTTGCGCTTGCTCTCGCGCGGCAGCGATTTGCTGGAATAGGCGCTATTTGGGAGCGACGTGGGCAACGGCTGCGGCTGCTGCTGCAGCTTCTCGGCGGCCTCCATCCACTTGTAGCCATTGCCATCGCCCAGGAACTGCATGGACAGGCGGCCGGAACGAGCGAATGGCTGATGAGCACCCGCTGCGCCAGCGTGTGGAAGTTGCTGCTGCTGCAGCAATTGCTCCTTCAGCTGAGCGGCTGTGTCGTCCTCCTCCTCCCACTGTGGCGACAGCTGGCCGCCGGCCTTGTCCAGCATTAGGCGTTCCGGTGAATCTCCGCCCGCATAGTGCGGCGCCGCTGCCGACCAACGCTTGTTGCTGCCCTCCGCCTTGAGCGAAGCTAGCAAATTGGGATCACTGCTGCGTCGCACCATCAGGCCGACGCCCAGGCCAGCCAACGGGCCGGACGTGGTGCTGGTCACCTCGATGTGCGGCGTGGACAGATCGCGCGTGGGCGCCTCTGTGTTTGTGGGATCACGAAAGATGTCCGGCGAACCGGTGCCCACTGAGGAGCTGCCCGAGGCGCCATCGCCTCCGCCCTGCGGTACGCCCGGATCGGGCCCCGAATCCTCGAAGTGGGCCAGTATCTGTTCCCGATCATCGGCCACATCGCGCACACAGTCATCGGGATCCAATATGCCCGATTGTGTCTGCAAATGGTGTACGGCTACCCAGGAGTCCGCTTCCTGCAAGCATAAGAGCAAATCAAACGGCATATTAATGGAAATGTTAATGTGAGCAACAAATTAACAGCTGGAACAAGTTCAAAGCGCTTTTTGAACTTTTTGAATAGCTGACAAATATTTGAATAAACTTTACAAATCATTTTCAGATTTCTTAGTTATTTGAACTAGTTATACAGATTGGCTCATTAGAAAATAATTCTGGAATTATGCTTGAGTCCATTTTTGTAAGCCATGAACAAATGAGCTAGTTCCAGTTTTTTTTTTAACTGGTTCCATATTTTTATTTAATCGAATGCAAAAAACTGTTAAGGACTTGGTGTTTATATTAATCTCTTCAAGTTAGAAGCAATGAACCAGTTCCAGATATTGTTTACTTGTTATTGAGTAAACTAGTTCATATTGTTTATTCAACGCTTATATCAAATGTACCATTATTATAACTAATTTATGGAATCCTAGCAATAATATATATAATTTTTAAATAGTTCATTTTCTTCATTGAACTGAGCTAGTTCTCAGTAAAGCTCAGCAGGGGCTAGACTAGCGCCGTAAACTGTTTTGCCACTCAATATTGTTATTATTTATTATTAATTATATATGCTATTCTTCTGTTCTTGAAAGCATTTGAACGATTTGCATAATGACTCCAGTTCGCAGAAATACAAACGGTTCTCCTAACTGGCGGCGGCGCGGAAGTTTAGCCAGCCAGCCACAAGGTAAGAGACAATCGCAGCCATTTGGAGCCGAAGACGAGCCTGGGATAGTGCAGCATGCGCTTGCGCTTCCGGGCCACAAAAGACAATTGCCCAATTGGCCATGTGTTGAGTCTCAGTGGCGCAGCTCAGCTGGCTCAGGTGGCTCGGGCAGCGGCTGTGTGGCGCTGCTTAAGCTGCCTGGGAAGCCATTTAGAGAGACTGCGAAGAATAGAGGCGACCTCCAGCCTACCAAAAAGCAAAACGAAAATTGCAGCGGGCCAAGCTCTAAAAGCCAATTCCAAGTTGGCGTCATTGTTGCTTGGCATTCCATTGAATACCAAACAACACACACACCAAATGCCAAATGCCGAAAAACTGGCCAGCAACAGCAACAGCAACAGCAATGGCAACGGCAACTATGGCAACAACAACAACAACAACAATTGCATCACGCCATTAAACCAGTCATGGAAGCAGCAGAGCGTGCGCTTCGCTCCCTGAACTGGAGAACTGGAACGTCAACTTGACGCAACAATTTGGAAGGTTGTTTTCTAGTTTTCGCTCTTTTCATTTGCCGCAAAAATAAGGGGAAAAAAAAAGTAAACAGAAAAAGATAAAAAACAAATCGCGTTCAACAATGTTGTTGTACTTCTTAGATTTATGGGTCAAAGAGCGTGAATTCTATCGATTTTCAAAACAGCGAGAGTAAAAGGCACAACAAATTGATTTTGTTACTGTTTTGATATTTTGTTGTTGTTTGTCTTTGGCTACGGCAAGCGCACAGTGTGGCAAAACAAGTGAATAACTGGGCAAAAAAGCACAAGGATCGATCAGTTATGCATTTATATTAAACACGCACGTAAGAATTTTGTATTTAAAATGTGATTGAACTAATTCATAAACTAAATTAATATTTAATTCACTATTTATTAAAGCAAACCATGAGGAAATAAATAAATACGTGAAGCAAAAAATTAGTTAATTTGTTCATCAAGCAGTTCTCTATGTTAGCCGCACACCAAGCCTAAATAATTTAGATTGAACTTTTTTTAGATATTATAATTTAACTTTAAAAATATGAATATATTATAAAAAGAAAAAATTTATAAAAAAAAAATAAATAAAAATAAAAATAATGTATAAAACTAAGTATAAACATATGAATAAACATAGTATTATAAAATATTAACAAATATTATATGTTTATATATCAAATAATTTTTTTTTTTATAAATAAACATAAAACAAAAAATTAATTTAAAAATAATAAAATAAATAATATTCATTTAATACATAAAGATTAATAAGGATAAACATAACAAATCTAAAAAAAAATAAAAATAAATAAACTAAACAAAAAATAACACATTGAAACCAAATATATAAATTTGAATAAACAATAACAATTAGTAAATTTAAAAATAAATACATACAAGTTCTAGATTTATATAAGTTTTTATGGAATATTAGGTTAAGCCTAACAATAACAATTAGTTCCACATATACAAACAGCTTGACAAATAATTTCGTATTGTTCAAGATTAAAAATGACTTCAAATTGATATTTAATATTATTTTATTATTTAAAATTGGTTTTTTATTTAACATATTTGGACCACTGTGCATTTGCCTGTTGATTTTATTTTCTTGCTTTGTTTCATTTTTGTGTTTGTTGACCCTCTTCATAGCCCATTGATTGTTTCATTATGGCCATTTGTCAATGGAAATGATGCGTCGATGGGCAAACAATGGCTATCAGCTATCATAAAATATTTGCATATATTTGTGTGTGTGTGTGTGGGCGTTTCGTTAAGTGGGCGTGTCTGTCAACATTATTAAGCTTCAAGTCTTTGCTCACATATTAATTAGTTGGGGACAGCGCGAGTGAGAGCGGTGGAGAGTGAAGGAGTGAGAGTGAGAGTGAGAGAGAGAGAGTTACCTTGACACAAGCGTAGCTGGGCGACGGCGGCCGCTTGGGCAGCGTCAGGGAGTAGGACTTGTGCAGGTTGCCATGTGGTATGCCCTCATGCTTGGCAGCCACCTTGTAGGTGTGGCGCCAGCCAAAGAGCCCGCTCAATTTGTTAGCCAGCGCTGGACACTTGGGCGGCACGTCGAACATTCCAATGCTGGATCTTTGATCTTTGATCTTTGGTATTTTCTAGAGTTGTTGTTGTTGTTGTTGTTGTAGCACACTTTTTATTGAATTATTGTTTATGTTGTTTCGTTGTTAATTACATTTAGTTACATTACACATTACAGTTAGCATTTTGGCTAAAAGTCACAGATCGCACTCGCAGCTCGTTCTTCACTTGTGGCAATGCCATTTAGCTCGACTCGTAGCACGTTGAGGCACATTGCACCGTTTCAAAACTCTAAAGATATATGTGTATATATATATATATATATTATATGTTATTTTATTTTGATTTCTATCACATTAGCCACACGCGCTCGCGCTACCGTTCTTATCGCTGATGCAATTGCAAATGTGGCAACAACAGCCGCTGCTGTTGCTGCTACTGCTGCTGCCTTATCGTACGCAATCGTTCGGCTTATCAAATGCAGTAGCTGCCATTCGCCTTTCGCCTTTTTATCGGAGAGTCGAACACACAGAAATTCTTCGCCAGTAAACAATGAAATCTGAGAAATCACACAAGCACTGATAGCAAGAAATTTCCGTTTTTGATTTCATTCACTTACGACCAAATGTTTGCCCAGGCAAAATGTCTAAGGTTTCCAACACGAATTCAAGCCAATTTATTGAACAAAGGAATTTCCTATTTGTTGATTGAGTTACATTGAAACAGAAGACGTAATTCTCGCATTTCTTTGCGTTTCACTGAACCAAAATTAATATGCCATTTTTTGAAACTAAACAAATCGAAAGCTTCGGTTACTTCCATTACAGGGTATCTTACAAACATCAGCTGCAATTGCTTGTCAACTAACAGGATATATTTCAGACTTTTGTCTTGCTTTTCTCTCAGCCTGTGTTTTTGTTGCCTTTTGTTGGTCGCTTTTCCCAGCGTTGTAATTTTTTCTATGAATGCATTTGTCGTCTCACATGCATTTTGCATTAAAATAAAAAATGCGAGAAAGATATTTCTATATGCATATAAATATATACATATATATAAATGTATTTTATTATAGCATGTCAAGATATATACACACACACACACATATACATATAGAAATTAACTGACAATGGCAGCCGAGGCTGGGCAAACTAGTTGAGCTCAATTCGCACAGAAATTCACATTGATTATGCACTTGCTCAGACACACCTGTAGTAAAGGTGACGTTGACTGACGCACGGCAATAGCTCTACCTGTGCTACTAAAACAAAAACACCACCAGCAGAAACAACAACAACAACACCAACAACGACAACAACAACAATGGACACCCATTTGGTAGCACTGCAAACGCACTCAGGCAGAAAGCTCACAGCTTCTGTAGCTGGGCATGGGGGCGGGGCGAGGCGGGGCGTGGCACCAGCGATTTATTTGCTTACTAGAAATTTTCGATGTAAACAGCAAGTAATGAAAATGTAAAAAAAAGAGCAGAAAAAGCATTGCCAATTAAGGTAGCACACACACACACACACACATACACGTATAGAAGCGTACAACTGTGTACACACATGCAAAAGGTTTATTCGACTTTTTTTTTTTTTGCGTAGAGCTAATAAAGCGAGAAAGCAAACGGCTCGACTCGGCACTTAAATACGCTAATAAACAACTGTAACAATTAGCGAAAATGATCTGAGTCAGAGCTGAACTAGTTTCGGATCGAAGATAAATGATTTCGGAACAGAACTTCGTCCAGCCAATGGGAGCTAATAGCTGAAAAAGGGTATAACGTGTAGTGAGTAAGATGACACACGTGCGTTACGTGACGCATGTTATCAGCTGTCACGTTACGTAGAATATCAAAGCCAAATGGAAATGAAATGATTTATTTTACTTGCTTGCAATTGACGTTCTTGGGGTTTTATAATTAAAAATTGATTATATAAAATATATATATAAAGCAAAAATATATCAAATATATGCAGAAAAGATATATATAAAATACATATAAATATATATAAACTATTTATATATAAAACATAATATAAAAATCTAATAAAATTTTGTATATCAAGCTAAAACTAAATTGAAAATTCAGCATATATAGAGCGAGATGGCCTTAAGCAGCAGAATATTAATGCAAACAATATTGAAGGTAGTCGAATATATATGAATGTATTTACATATATATATATATATATGTATATTGTACGAGCTTGTAATGTCGACA